CCGATACAGTCATCAATGTAACGGAGGAAGAGGTGGGGTTTAGGGCCGGTGTAGGTACGGAAGAGGGATTGTTCCACGTAACCTACAAAGAGGCAGGCGTAGCTTGGGCCCATGCGGGTACCCATGGCTACCCCCTTTGTCTGTAGGAAGTGGGAGGAATTGAAAGAGAAGTTGTTGAGTGTGAGGACGAGTTCGGCTAAGCGGATGAGGGTGTCAGTGGAGGGGGACTGGTCGGGCCTGCGGGACAGGAAGAAGCGGAGGGCCTTAAGGCCATCTGCATGGGGAATGCAGGTGTAGAGGGACTGGACGTCCATGGTAAAGATCAGGTGTTGGGGACCGGCGAATTGGAAGTTCTGGAGGAGGTGGAGGGCGTGGGTGGTGTCACGGACATAGGTAGGGAGTTCCTGGACCAAGGGGGAGAAAATGGAGTCGAGATAGTTGGAGATCAGTTCGGTGGGACAGGAGCAGGCGGAGACAATGGGTCGACCAGGGCATTCAGGTTTGTGGATTTTGGGAAGGAGATAGAAGCGGGCAGTGCGAGGTTGGGGAACGATGAGGTTGGAGGCTGTGGGTGGGAGGTCACCTGAGGTGATGAGGTTGTGGATGGTTTGCGAGATGATGGTTTGGTGCTCAGGGGTGGGGTCATGATCAAGGGGGCGGTAGGAGGAGGTGTCGGAGAGTTGGCGTCCAGCCTCGGCGATGTAGAGGTCAGTGCGCCATACTACAACTGCACCTCCCTTGTCCGCGGGTTTTATGGTGAGGTTGGGATTGGAGCGGAGGGAGCGGAGGGCTGCACGTTCTGCGGGGGAGAGGTTGGAGTGGGTGAGAGGGGTGGAGAGGTTGAGGCGATTGATGTCTCGACGGCAGTTGGAGATGAAGAGGTCGAGGGAGGGTAGGAGGCCTTGGGGTGGTGTCCAGGAGGAGGGGGTGTGTTGGAAGCGGGAGAAGGGGTCAGTAGAGGGAGGGTTAGGTTCACGGTTAAAGAAGTAAGCGTGGAGGCGGAGGCGGCGGAAAAACTGCTTTATGTCCAAGCGTGAGCGGTATTCGTTGATCTGTGGGTGGAGGGGGACAAAGGTGAGCCCTTTACTGAGGACTGACCGTTCGTCCTCAGTAAGGGGTAGGTCTGGGAGGATGGTGAAGACTCGGCAGGGCTGGGTGCTGCTGTCTCCTCTGGAGCTGCTGGCTGTGGAGGTGGTGGGCGGAGCTACGTCGGCGTCGGCTGTGGGTGGAGCTGTGTCGGCCTCGGCTGTGGGCGGAGCTGCGTCGGCGTCGGCTGTGGGCGGAGCGTCGGCGGCCGTGGGCGGAGTTGTGCCGGTGTCGGCGGTGGGTGGAGTTGCGTCCGCGTCGGTGATGGGCGGACCGGCGTCGGAGGTAGGAGGAGCGGGGTAGGCGGCGGCAGTAGCGGTGAGGGTGGTCGCGACTTCAGTGTCGGTGGCAACGGCAGCGATGGTGCTTGCTGTCCCGGAAGTGGGGAACCCGGCGGTGGCGGATGTGACGTCATCTGTGGGTTCTCCGATAGTGGCCTCATGGCCAATGGCGGCGGACCCATTGTGGGGAAGGTCCTGGGTACGGCTGGGGATTTGGGGGGTGGAGGAAGCCCGTTTTGGGTGGTAGGCACCAGTAAGTTTACTGTACTTACGGTTTTTAGTGTCCAATAAAGCTGAGTAGAATTGGGAGTTCAGGTTGTGGATCCTACGTAGAATAAAAACAGACTTTATTTTGGTTGTGGCGGGCTGTTTGAGGGCAGGAGTGAGGGAAATGCAAGATATGTGTTTGAGGGCATTTTTGATCATCGGAGGGGGGGATGTTGCAGACATTGAAATAGCAGGACACCTGGGATGTCTGGGAGTGGAACACTCCATCTTGGGAGCAGATGCGGTGGAGGCAGAGGAATTGGGAGTAGGTGAGAGGAGGTGTAGTCCAGGGCTTGAAATAGATGTTGGTGTTGAGGTGGTTACCAGAGATGGAGATGGAGAGGTGCAAGAAGGGGAGGGATGTATCGAAGATGGTCCAGGTAAATTTGAGCTCATGGTGAAAGGTGTTAGTAAAGTTGATGAACCATTCAAGCACCCCATGGGAGCATGAGGCAGCGCTGATACTGTCATCAGTTTAGCGGAGGAAGAGGTGAGGGATGGTGCCGGTGTAACAGCAGATAAGGGACTGTTCCACTTATCCTATGAAGAGGCAGGCATAGCTTGGACCCATGTGGGTTCCCATGGCAACCCCCTTAATTTGTAGGACGTGGGAGGGGTTAAAGGAGAAGTTGTTCACAGTAAGGACAAGTTTTATTAAGCGGATGAGGGTGTCAGTGGAGGGAGACTGGTTGGGCCTGTGATAGAGAAAGAAGCGGAGGGCTTCTTGGCCATCTGCGTGGGGGATACAAGTGTACATGAATTGAATATCCATGGTGAAGATGATGTGTTGGGAGCCAGGGAATTGAAAGTGGTGGAGGAGGTGGAGGGCATGGGTGGTTTCCTGGACATTGGTGGGGAGCTCCTGGACCGGAGGGAAAAGACAAGATCAAGGTAAGCGGATATGAGTTCAGTGGGGCAGGACAAGGCAGAGACAATGGGTCAGCTGGGGAGGGTTTGTGGATTTTGGGAAGGAGATAGAAATGGGTGGTACGGGGTAGGGAAATGTTGAGGTTGTAGGCTGTGGGTGGGAGGTCACCTGAGGTTATGAATGGTCTGAGAGGTTTGGTGGTCAGGGGTAGGATCATAATCGAGGGGGCAGTAGGAGGAGGTGTCAGAGATTTGGCGCCTGGCCTCCATGATGTAGCGGTCAATGCGTCACACCACTACTGCGCCCCCCCCCCCCCCACTTATCCACTGGTTTGATGGTGAGGTTAGGGTTGGATCGGAGGGCTGCGCATTCCTTGGGGGAGAGGTTGGAGTGAGTGAGAGAGTTTGAGGCGATCGATGTCGCGACGGCAGTTGGAAATGAAGAGACCGAGGGAGGGTGGGAGGTCGTGGGGTGGTGTCCAGGAGGATGGGGTTTGTTGCAGGTGGGAGAAGGGGTTGGCAGAGGGTGGGTTAGACTCTCGGTCAAAGAAATAGGCGCGGAGGTGGAGGCGCCAGAAGAAGAGTTCAACATCCAGACATGAATGGAGTTAATTTATGTGTGGGCACAGGGGAATGAAGGTGAGTCCTTTGCTGAGTACTGACCATTTGTCCTCAATGAGGGGGAGGTCTGGGGATGGTAAAGACCCAGCAAGGCTTGGGGCTGGGGTTGGGAGTAGAGCTGGAGCTAGGAGTTGGGGTGGAGACTGTCTGAGGATTGGCTGTATGGGTGTATGGATGGGGATGATCATGTAAGTAGGAGTAAAAGTGATGTCGGTGGCGGAAGTGATGTCATCAGCAGTGGAAGTGTTGTTGGTGACACTGCAACCCACTGGTTATCTCCTCTGCCTTGAAACTCTTCGACCACATACTTAAAAAACCCGGTACTACAGCCGCAACTTCTTTCTCAGTACCTGCCTATGCAGCTGGATCATCACCAATGGACTCCAAACAAAATTAAGGCCATCTCAATTTAGCCCAAACTGCAACAACCACTACCTACAGTGCATTCAGACCCTCCAAAAATGATTTTCTCTGTGGATTCTCAAAAACATGCTCACAGCAATGTGCCAGCATCTTCTAGCACTACAATCAACCTTACCCCAGCTCAGAGCCTCTCTCTCCCAAACCTGCAAAGGACCTCTTCTGTTTTTCATTCACACCTTCAACCAACACTTTTTCTCCAGCCTATCTGACATCAAAGACCATAAATACACTAAACTTGCTTGTGCTTACCACCAAACACAGGCTTCCTCCACCACAAAAGAACCCAATCCTATCCAGGACCTCCCTCTCAATGTGCCTGGCGCTGTTAACCATGCGGTTGCCTTGGCCCCTCCCACTGATGCCGTCAACTACGTCACTTCCGCTGATGCCAACCATGCCGCTGCTGCTGCTGCCGTCATTGCAGCTGCCGATGGCACCGACATCACTTCCGACGGTGACGCTGCCACTTCTGCTGCCACCGCCACTTCCGCCACCGCCGATGCCGCCTCTTCTGCCGATGTCATTTCTGACGCAGCTGACGCCATCACTTCCATCACTGGAGCTTCCATTAACCAGAAGCTGAACTAGTCTGGCCATTTAAAAATTGTGGCTACAAACAAAACCAGAGCATATCAGAGTCTCGGAAATCTGCAATGAGTAACTCACTTCCTGACTCCCCAAATTTATCCACAATCTATAAGGCACAAATGAGTAAAGGGTGCACACCCCAAGATTTCAACAGAAGATGTGCTCAGTCGAAACAGAATGTGTTTCTTACATACTCATAGCTAGTTACTTTACATCTGAGGTACAAGATAGTCTTATATGAGACATCAGGCTCAATGTCATATGTAATTCATCATTACTGCTACTTAAATGTTCTGGTACATACAAGAAGACTGGCCAATGTACGTAATGGTTAGCTCCTCCCAGTCCTTTATATCCTGATGGGCAAAGCTTATTGCGTAATGAGAGTTAACCCTTTCAGGTATTAATTGCCTTCTACAAGAAAGGCAATTCAGATATCCATTCTTATTCTGCTGTAGTGGATGAATAATTCAACTCTATCTTTACAATCATTAATAAACAAGTGAAAGTAAAATAAATTACTTCAACATCAATGAATTTCTCCATGTAAGGTTATGATTTAGGTTGTTTTGCCATTAATTTTAATAATACTTTAAATCACCACATAATAGCATAAATGATAATTTACTGATATGCAGTCTATTTGACCATATGAAGTTGAAATAAAATGACAAATCTTCAAAAAAAATGAAGTTACAGAGTTCTTGTAGGAAACACTGTTTAATATGGGACAAAGATCAGTCATTATATGTAATTTAACAGCTTTAAATCATTGCTAGGTCATTTTGTAAACCCAGACATTCTAAAATAAAAAAAAGAGACTTTAACAATAATCCAGTGTGGGAAAGTGGGATTCTTCTGTTTCCTGCCAGTTTCACATGGGAAGGTGGAGCTCCCCAAATGGAAACAGGAGAACCATTTGTTTTTCACCAATTACAGTTCCCCTGGGAATATAATAATCAGGATTAAAAGCAGTAGTTGCTGGAAAAACTCAGCAGGCCTGGCAGCATCTGTGAAGAAAAATCAGAGTTAATGTTTTGGGTCTGGTGACCCTTTCCCCAAACTTTTTTGGTTTTTATATAATATTGGGATTATTGTGCATAAAAGAGATTGGAGATCTTTATTCTGAGAAAAATGCTGAATATCCATGTATATGCACATTTGTTCAGAGTTGCTTAGTGTAACAACTTCATGAGGTTTATCATATGAATTACTTCTATGATTTAGTCTGATCATTTTGCAGTCCTTTTAACTAAAACAAAGACAGCTAGGCCTTCTCCTTTAGTGCTTAAGCACTTTATTGTTTAACATTTATAAGCTCAGAAATAGCTGTTAACGATATTAGTTGATGAATAAAAGGCAGTTGTAAAAAATCAAGTCTGAACATTTCTAAGTTATCAAGTAATATGAGCTATGTCACATTATGATTTAAATGTTAAATAGAATAGATGTGAATTATGAGAAAAGAGTGCAGATTCAGTAACTTCTATTTCAATGTCAATTCGTATGTTTATGGAAAAGGATAGAAAATTAAACAGTCAGGAGAGGGCACTGTGCCCTAACACAGAGTTAGTTAAAAGCAATAACTGCTGGTACTGGTTGGTTGCTGGGAGCAGGAAATAACACTGATATGCTGAAACATCGGAATAAGTTGTTACAGTTCCTTGAAAAAGGAGTCAGATGATTCACAAAATGTCTCTTTGAAAGTAGGAATACTCTGAAACATTGGATGAATGGTAAACATTTAAAAGCAGCTCATAAAAGAGACTAAATTGATCAATTTTTAAATTAGCAGTGAAATTGCAATAAATGTACTCAATGCTTCTACTTTACTGATTAGAAAGGCATATAGATATTTTTGAAGTGTCATTTGGTGCCAAACTTGTTCAAAACACTACTTTGTATGCAAAAGCATTGAATGCTCTAAATGACAGCTGGAGAATGTCAAATATGCATGTGCAATCTCCAATCTAACTAGGCACACATCAGAATGCTAATATAAGGTTATATTTAACCCTCTGGATATACCTCACAGATTAAACGTATCCTTGGTACACTTTGTCTGCTGGTTATTGTGCTTTTAAATTACTCATGTATTGGGCCTTTAGCCATTTAAGGACTAGAACATATTTATTGCTTAGAGGACAGTTAAGAGTCAGCCGCATTGCTGTGGGTCTACGGTCATGTGTAGTCCAGACGAGGTAAGGGTGGCCGTTTCCTTCCCTAAATGATATTAGTGAAGCAGGTGGGTTATTCTTGATGGCTTTATGGTCATTATGAGACTCTTAATTCCAGATTTTTATTGAATTCACATTTCACCATCTGCCATAGTGGGATTTGAACCCAGTTAAACATTATCTGGGTCTGCTGGATTAACAGATAATATTACTAGGCCTTGCTTCCCCTAAAGTTGCTCTAGTACAGCTATAACACTACCACCTACCCAACAATGGGGAACGTTGTCTAGGTGTTTCCTGTAAACGGAAAGCAGGACAAATCTAATCCAGCCAATTACCACTCTATCAGTCTACTCTTGATCATTAATAAAGTGATGGAAGGTGTCATTAATAGTGCTACCTAGCAATAATCTGCCCACTGACACTCAATCTGGGTCCCACCAATCAGGTGCTGAACTCATTACAGTCTCGGTTCAAACATGGAAAAAAGAGCTGAATTTCATCAAGGCCTCATTTAACCAAATGTAGCAACAAGGAGCCCTAGCAAAACTGGAGTCAGTAGGAATCAGAGGGAAAATTCGCAGTTAGTTGGACAGAAAAGAAGATGGTTGTGGTTGTTGATGTTTGGCACTTCATCTCCAACACATCATTGCATGAGTTCCTTAGTATCATGTCCTAGGCCCAACCATCTTCAGCTGCTTCATCAATCACCTTCCCTCCATCATCATGTCAGAAGTAGGAATGTTGACTGATGATTATACAATGTTTGGCACCATTCACAACTGTCCATATTCAAATGCAGTTACATCTGGACAATATCCAATTTTACTTGATAAGTGGCAAGGAACATTTGTGCCAGGCAATGACCATCTACAAAAAAAAAGAGAACCCAATCACTGCCACTTGGCATTGAATGGCATTCCCATTACTGAATCCCCAACTATCAACATTCTGGCCAGTATCATTGACTGGAAACTGAACTGGATAAGCATTAGAAATACAGTAGCTACACAGCATGTCAGAAGCTGGAAATCCTGATACAAGTAACTCATCTTCTGACTCCCAAAACCTGTCCACCACCTATAAGGCACAAATCAGGTTTGTGATGAACCTCTCACAACTTGATTGGATGAATGCAGCACCAACAATACTCAAGAAATTTAACACTCATCCAAGTCAAAGTTGCTTGCTGGATTGGCACCATATCCACAAACATTCACTCTCTACTACTAATGCTCAATCACATTAATGTGTACCATCTACAAGATGTACTGCAAAAATTCACCTCAGCTTCTCAGACATAACCTTTTAAACTGACAACAGCTTCCATCTAGAAGGACAAGAGCAGACATGTGGGAACACCACTATCTGTGAGTTCCCCTCCAAACCACTCGCCATGCTGACCTCAAAATATATCACCAAGCCTACAGTGTCATTGGGTCAATATTCTGGAACACACTCTGTAATGGCATTGTGGATCTCTTACCAACTCATGGACTGTAGTGGTGCAGCTCACTAGGATCTTAACGAGGGAAATTAGGAATGGACGATAAATACGTATCCAGACAGTGATGTCCACATCCCACGAATGAATTAAAAAAATTATTGGCCTTAAACAGAGCCAAGACTCATTGCTTATGAGGTGATTTATTAGTGCTATTGAGAAGGGTTTAAACTAACTTGGCAGGTATTTGGGAACCAAAAGGAAATAATCAGTGGGCAATACCAAGGTGTATAGAATACTGGGAAAGACAGATAGGACTAGACAAAGAACATATAAGTTATTGGTAGTTTTAAAGTAAGAAAGGAAGTGATAAAGTCTAACTTAGGGTTATTGTGCATGAATGTTAATGTGACATATGTGGTAACTAAGATTGGTGACTTGCACTTGCTTATTGCCATGTAGAAATATGAAGTTGTGGCTATAACAAAGGCTTGGCCTAAAGAGTTGTATATTAACTGCTGCCAAGTACGTGGTATTCAGGAAAGATAGGAAAGGGAGAACGTGGCAACATTACTTAGGAGAATATTACACTGTTGAAGAAGGAGGATGTCCCAAGTAGATCAATGACAGAATCTACTTGGCCAGAGCAAAGAAGAAAACAGTATGAAAATACATTGATCGGTATAATCCAAAGGACACCACTAGTGAGAAAAATGTAGAGGAATAAAGTTACAAAGAAACTACAGAGAAGTGCAGTTGTTATATACTAGTTATAGTGGGGAACTTCAATTATCCAAGTGTAGTTTGAAGGATCGACATTGCCCATATTTACTAATGTATTCAGGAGAATTTTCTATACCTTTATGTTTCCAGTCCATTGAGGAAGAAGGCACTGATAGACCTGGTTCTAGGGAATGAAGTGGGTTGAGTGTCAACGGGTAAACATTTGCTGGATAAGCTGTTTGTACGCCAAGTATTTGATCCATTTGGTAATGCTGTAAATTTCAGCCCCACAGTATTTGACTGCGTCCAAACATTCAAATATTTTTAAAGGTACGCACAATACCACAATTCACCTGACTTTCAGTCGAAGATTGTTGGAAAGCAAGGACTACATTTCTGTATTAAATGAGAATTATTATTTATAATAAGTAATTAGATAAGAGGTAAGTAAAACCATCATAAATCATTAGCATCTAACATATGTAAACCTCCTTATAAACTTCCCAGCCTCTCTCACACAAAAACACACACACACACACACACACACACACACACACGTGTGCGAAAGATAGATTATTAGCAGAGGCAGAAATAAACTGGAAAGTCAGTTCAATGGTCTTTGCTTCCTGATTCTAATGTTGAGATGATCCTACTTCAACTACCAGTTGCGTTTCTCTGGAAGTTTCCACTGATTTATAAGTATAGAACAACTGATTCACGTTGAAAATGTCTCTGATCTATCAATTCAAAAGTTAAAGCTCACAGCAACTGTAGCAGAAAAGGTAACTTGTTTTCTTCAAGTTTAAATACCTTTTTACTGCAGAGAGCAAGTAGCTTCTGCTGGGGAGAACAGCAGCACACCTTTCTGTGTTTTCTTTTTCTCTGTTTCTGCAACTTGTTTCTAGTTCTAGCCTTGGTTCAGGGTTGTCTACATATTGCAAGAATCCGTAGGCACAAAAAAAAATTTGCAATAGGTATTGAATTCTGTGAAATTATCCTTGTTTGTTTTTCTTAAAAAAAGTTCTTTCTCCTTTCAGTCCATAGATTTTAAAGACACAAAAATAAAACAAAAAACAGGGCTCTTAAGTTTAAAAATGCCAGGATGAGACGAAATGTGCCTGAGGATACTGAGGGAAGTGAGAATGGAAATTACAGAGGCCATGGCAATTTTCCAGTCTTCCCTAGACCTAGAGGTGACGTCAGAGAACTGGAGAATTGCAAATGTCACGCCTTTGTTCATGAATACAAGCCAGTCAATTTAATCAGTCAATCAATAGTGGGGAAGCTTCTAGAAATAAGGATCTGAATCAATTAATGTCAGAATCACAGAAGTAATTTTAGATATGTACTAGTTTATGAAGAGTAAAGTGATGAAATTATTTGCAAAGAAGCACAAATATTTTAAATAATAATGTTGGAAACAGTTAATTGGCCAAACTAAACATAGTATCAAGTATTGATTCTAACCTAATCTAGAAATTAGCAGTATTTTGAATGCTCCTAAAGATTATGTCACTGCACCTTCCAGATATAGACAAGTAACATCTGAATTATCATTACTGGGTCCCCAGCTAACTCATCCTCAATTAACTCAGACCAGGCACCATTTCATTCAATTTGCCTATTGTTTGACCGGTCTGTGGGACAGGTCTCCCAAAAAGCCCACAAATGTTAGAAAGAAGGACTTTGCAGGGTCAAATGAATGTAATGCAGTATTGTCATTTCCTGTATCTAGATTTTATTCTCTTTTGATTTTATGTAGATGTTTGGAACAATTGATTGCTTGCTCATCCATTTCTAAGGCAGTCAAGAGTCAACTACAATGCCTGTGGGGTCTGGAGTCAACAAAGACCAGACCAGTTAAGGATTTCCTTCCCTGAATGTTTTTAATTAATCAGGTGAGTTTTACATAAGTCTATTCTTTCAAATTTTTAATTTAAATTAATTAGTAGTTCTTGAACTTGTGCTCTCAGATCAATAACTTGGGCCCCTGGGTTACTTGCCCAGTAAAATTACAACAATGCTACCATTCCCCTGACAGATATTGTATTTACATGACGGGTCTAATTGAGTTTCTGATCAGTCATAAGATGTTGATGCTTTGGAATTTGGTGACGGTACTTTCGTTGAATGGTTGGACAATCTCATTGGAATGGTCATTACTTGCCTCTGTGCATTAAAGATTTAACTTTCCACTTAATACCCTAAGCCTGAATGTTGTCCAGATCTTGTTGTATGTGCATCCCTATGGTTTAATATGTGCATGGGTCACTTTGTGGTCGAATGAGAAGAGTCTTGTAGCATAAACAAGAAGCTGTTTCTTTAATCTCTGCAACTAACTACAGGCTATAAGAATAGGCTCTACATTACTGCAAAGACTGTTGAAAATACTGTGCTTTAGTTCGGGATCCCACAAGAATCTACTTTCCTCTCCCACCAATTCCTAATAACAACATTACAATGGGTGATTTCTCACAGCTTGTGCAAAATACTTTTAAGACACATGTTTATGAAATCATCACCATATCATAGCACGTGATTGAAAGATATAAGGACTGATCTGCCACCCTTTTGGAGTTTTTGTCTTTAGCAAGCTGTTTTTACCTGATAAGACAATACTTCTGTTGGGCCCAATGCCAATATGAAGCTACTCGGTTATAAACACTCGCATGCTTTCCTCAAGCTCAGAACCTTTCAGACATATACATGTCCCTCAAGCTTTTTACCAGTGTTACTTGATTCTCTTTAACAAGCTTTCACTATTATTATTATTATTATTATACATTTGTGTATATAATTACATTTACCAATGGCCCATCTCGCCCAAGTCCTTGACTTGACAAACTTATACAATCTAGAGGGTTCAGTATTCTCCCTGAATGTTCTTTCTTTGGACATGCATGAATGGTATTTTGATAGAGATAGCGGGAGAAGGTAGTTGTCTTGGACTGTCTTTTTGGCGGAGGTCTAAGGTTCTCCTTTATTGTCATGTTCACCATTTGGTTCATCCGAATCAATTAATATCAGAATCACAGAATTGTTACAATGCAGAAGGCCACTTGGCCTGTCAAATCTGCACCGGTTCTTCAAATGAGCATCATTACCGAACGCCAATCTCCTGCTTTACCTCTGTACTCTGTGCATGTCAGTTCTATCTAAATAATAATTCAATCCCCTCTTGAATGCCTCAATTAACCTGCCTCCTTCACTTTTATAGGCAGTGCATTCTATACCTTAACAACCTGCTGTGTGACAAAGTTTCTTCCCACATCACACTTGCTTCATTTGCATATCATTTAAAATCTATGCTCCCTTGTTCCTGTTACTGTTACAAACAGGAACATCTTCGCCCTATCTACTCTACCAAGCCCATTCATGAATTTGAAAACGTCCATTAACTCTCCTCAGCCTTTCTTCTGTTCAAGGAGAACAGAATATATTGACTCCATCAATATTTCCTCATAACTGAAATTCCTCATTCCTGAAACCATTCTTGTAAATTGCCATTGCACCCATTCCAATGCATTCATATCCTTCCTATAAGGTGGCATCCATAGCCATACACAATAGTCCCTCTGAGGTCTAACAAGTGTCTCATACAAGTACAACATCACTTTCTTGCTTCTGTACTCTATACTCCTATTTATACCCTCTGCATTGAACCTCATCTGCCCTTATCTGCTCACTGCACCAATTTGTCAATATCCTTTTTGAGTTCCACACTGTCTTCCTCACAGTTTACAACTCTTCCAAGTTTTATGCCATCTATAAATTTTGAAATTGTCCCCTGTATACCGAGAACCAAATCATTAATGTATATCAGAAAAAGTAAGGGTCCCAATACTAACCCCTGGAGAACTCTGTTCTAAATCTTCCTCAACTTGAAAAATATCAATATACCGTTACTCTCTGTTTCCTATCACTCAGTAAATTTTGTATTCACATTGTTACTGTCCCTTTTATAGCATGACAAGTCTGTTGTGTGATTTTTGTGCCCCTTTTTATTCCTAAACTCTACCCACAAAGCGCCATTTCTTCCAAGATATCATTCCTCCTTAATGCAGTAACTGAATCCCTATCTAATAATGCAATACCACCTCAACCTTTGCACCCTCCCCGGTCTTGCCTGAAGATCCTGAATTGCCAGTCTTGTCCCTCCCGCAACCACATATTTATAATGTTAGTCTCATCCTAGTTCAGGTGCAGACAGTCACACTTTTAGAGGTCCCACCTTCCACAGGAATGGATCCAGTGATCCAGAAATCTAAAGCCTTCCCTCCTGCACCAACTCTTGACCCACACATTAATATGCTGTATTCTCCTGTTTCTGTACTTGCTAGCTCATGGCACCAGGAATAATCCTGAGATTGCAATCTTTGAAATTCTGCTTCTAAATCTACTGCTTAGCTCTCTGAACTCTTGATGCAAGATCTCATCCTAATTCTACCTGTATTGTTGGTACCAATGTGTACCTGAATGCCTTGTAGCTGATCAGTGTCATCCCTGGACTTGGCACAGGAAGGCAAAACATCATCCTGGAGTCATATCTGCTGCTACAGTAACCCCTGTAACCCCTGTCAACAGACAGGGGTTTCTGTAGCAGCAGATGTGACTCCAGGATGATGTATTGCCTTCCTATGCCAAGTTCAGGGACAACATCGATGAATTAATCCACTACCACTTCGACTTTCTTTCCCCCTTGCCCTATACAGGCAGAAACTTGGCTCTGACTGCACTTCTTTGAGATATCAGCATTCTCCTCAGCTTCCAAAATGAATTTGTGAGTGGGACCCCAGGGGACTCCTGTGCTAGCTGCCTGTTTCTCCTTGACTGTCTGGTAGTCACCCATTCCTTCCTTCCCTCTGATCCCTTCGGTTGCAAAGTGATCACCTCTTTAAAATGTGCTAACCATATAATTCTCAGCCTTACATGGCTTTGCCACAGTATGTCCAGTAGCTGCTCAAGCTCTGAAACCCAGGGTTCTTATCATCATCCTGGATAGCGGTAGGGGTCATGACTCCCCACATGTGAAGGTCATGCATTCCACTCAGTTGCCCTTGCCTGCCTTGATTTAAACTTCCTTAGTCTTGCTAGCTGACTTTATCCCTAAATAATTATTGGCTTAAAAAAATAACTGCGATACAGGGAGAGTTCCTAATGGTGGTCCCCTTATCAGCCAATCAGCTAGATGTGTGATGTCACTCTGAATTTTGATCCTCTGGTACAGAATGAGTGTATTTGCACAAGGTACCTCTCCCACTGGCTCCAACACTGTCCTGTGTCCTCACTAAGAAGGCTTAAATCCTCGACTGTAGATTTATACTCTCACTGCTCCATACACCTTCTCCACAGGCTCCCCTGGAAGAAAACCTGAATCTGTGACTGTAGATTTATGCACTCATGCTCTGTGTATCTCCCTCACAGGCCTCCAACTCTGTCCCATCAACCTGGTAGGGAGGCCCAAATCCTTGACTGTAGATATATATATATATATTCACCCCTAAGTACTCCTCCCCAGAAGGCTCTGGCTCTGTCCTGGATCCCCTATAAGAAGGGCCGAGTCCTTGATTGTAGATTTTTATAATCACTGCTCTGTGTATCTCACTCACAAGCTCCGATACTGAGTTGTTTGTCCTGTAAGAAGACCCACTAGCTCGTCTGTAAATTTAAATATTCACCATTCTGTGTACTTCACCTACAGACTTTGATACCGTCCCATCTCCCCTGTATGAAGGCCTAGATCCTCAACTGTAGATATATATACTCACTGCTCCATTCAATGACTGCAGGTTATAATTCTGCATCAGTTAATCCCTGTGATGCATAATAATATTTAATAATGTTTGCATTTAGCAATGGCAGACTGGCATCTTATAAGGCTATGGTTTGTACCATGCTGGTCAACTCAACCTGTGACAACCATTCAGCTGTATCTGGAAGAGTACTGCTCATATACTTGCATCTGAAGCATCAGCTACTGTTGGAAATGAAGGTCCGCAATGAGCTAAGACGGCTGTAGGTGTCAACATTTCCTTAATCTTCAAAAAAGTGTTGTCTTGATGAAGATTGTAACACCATACTTGTATCTTCTTGAGCAGTTACCCCAAGCGTTTTGTAATTGTTGCTAGGTTAGGCAAATATTTTGCAAATGATTCGTTGTACTCAGAAACCTTTTAAGATCCTTGACTGACTTTGGAATGGGGAATTCCACGTGGTTTCATTCGTCTGAAGATCAGCCACCATGCCTTAACTGTTGCCAATGTGTCCTAAAAATGAATGGATTCTTTAGAGAATTCACACTTCTCATGAAGCGTGTGCCCCCTTCTTGAAATGTTTTAATATTTTATACTCTTCAATCATTGCCCCATGGATCTGTATGTCATTCATGTGGCATATAACTTTGTGAAGACTTGTAAACGCTTGACATGATTTTTGAAAAATCTCTAGGGCAAATGCAATTCCAAAAGGCAATCTGAAAAAAATTCCAAATAGAGTGATAAATGTCATAAGCAATCTCGATTGCTTGCTTAATGGCATTTAGAAAAATATGCTATTTGTATCGAGTTTTATAAAATATCTCCAAGTGGCTAGGTTTGCTAGTCTCCCAGCAACAATGGACATCGGGTAATTTGTGTCAGGTCAATGCAAATTCGAGGAGCAACTTTAAGGTTGGGCATGTTAACAATACCTGAACATTGTTTTGTGGGTTTCTTGATGAGGGCGATAATGCCGATTCTTGTCATTTCTGTGAGTTGATTCTCATTTTCTTTCTTCATTAAGGGATGTAATATCATCTTGGATGTGTAAAGGCTTAATATTTTTATATCTTTCTTTAGTGTGATGCTATAATCATTCCGAGTAATTCTGAATACAGAGTTGACTAGCACGGTGCAAACCGTTGTCTTCTAAAACAGGGGCTGCTATATGTCAAGTACAAACATTATTATACGCTATGCATCACAGAACAAGTTAGATACTGACGTATGTAAAATATGTGGGAACAAATTGTGCAGAGTATATGTATTTAAGAAAAATGTTACATGTTAAATGTGAAGGTTCATGTTGGAATTTGGTGATGTTATGTGACTGTACATGCATATGTAATAACTTTCCCTTCTACAGTTACACTATTTTGCACTAGTGTATCTATAAAATGCATTCATGTGTATCTGTTTCTTATTTGAAATAATATTGGAAGGATTTATCCAGAAAAAATACTTCCAAACAAATGCATCACAAGCACCCTCCTGGAGTTCAATCACATTTGATCATCTTGTTATAATAGATTTGCCTGGATGGCACATATGGCTTGCCGGATTCTGATATTTCTCCAGGGACTTGAACGCTTTGGTTACTAAATGAAAGGGCATTTTAAATTACACAAGAGGTGAACCCTGTAGAGTTCATTGATTCATATCAAGCATCCAAAATGTTTGAGGTCACCCTTTGAATCTGAATGAAAGCCTTGCAGATTAGCCTCATGTTGCATATCACACTTGAATACTGCAGCAGTTTAAACTATGAACAAGGTGGGAAGTCATTTCTGATTCAGTGCATAATTAGACACAAATTTTAAAAAAGACAGATGCATTTCCTTTTAGCTGATGACAGCTGTAGGTCAGATTGATTTCTGCTTTAAAATGAAAAGACCTGAAATTGGATTCTCTCACTTTTGGAAATGGGATCAAGATTTATGACCTACCTACAGACATTCAGATCAAGGTGGAAAGTGCACAACTTTGGTACACCCACTTCATCAGAATGATTTTAGCATTGGGCTGAGTGGGTCTCATATTACTCCTTTTTAACAGAGGCAAAATGATTGGCAAACCCCATTAATAGCTATGACACTGGACAAGCAATGGCTATCAATTAAAGATTGTGAAAAACAAAAACAAATCAGCCATAATCTTATTAAATGGCAAAGCAAGTTTGAGGGGCAAATGGTCTACTTCTACAGCTATTTTGTATGTTCGTAATTCATGCATGATTTGAAACAAATAGACAATCATTTAAGGAACAAAGGCCCCGTACAAAATGAGGTACAACATGGCTGACAAGAGAAGATGAAGATGTAAAATAAAGCACTGCAGATGCTTTCAAAACCACTTTCCTAGCTCAGGGTAATGTCTGATGAAGATTAAAAGGATTAAAGCAATTCTAAAAAAAAGCAGTAACCCTGACGATCAAGGGGATTTTAGAAATGTATTCATATTTTGTCAAATTTCTGCTTTATACAGGAAAACATATAAAGCAGTAAGTTTACAGTGTTCTGAAGAAATATTGACTGCATCGAAGTTTAAATCTGGCTGATTATAATTTTGAAATTGAACTCCAGCACTCATGCCAGTCTGTATCTTAAAAGGAGATGTGTCACCCCAAGTATGTATACTTATGCAGAGTAAAACACTTATGGGATTTGGGTCAGCTGAATATTAGTGATATAGCCATACTAAGTACATAAAATCATGGTCGTTCTGTAAGGTGCATGATATATGTTTGGAACTTATCTGATATTTTCATTTGGATTTCCTACACTGGCATGATCTTAACACATCTCCAATGAAACAAGACAATAACAAAATCAGAATACTGTGAATTCTGGAAATCTGAAGTAAAAACAGTTAGTGTTGGAGAAACTCATTAGGTCTGGCAGCATCTGTGAAGATAGACGCAAAGTTAATGCTTTGAGTCTAATAGCTATTCTTTGGTCAAGGATGTGTACGTTCACAATAGATAGTAATTCATAGTACAGCACTTGAGTACGGCTGAAAAGATGAACATTCTGTCAAAGTTTTTTGTCTTGGACTCATCAAGACAATTCACAAGAATATAAATCCAAAGAAGGAAAAAAAAACTGTTTATACTGTATGAGAGGAGAGTGCCGATAGGTTGGCAAGTGAATAATGATTGGTGGGAGCTCTACCGTGGGGAATACATCAATTAATGATGATTGACAATTAACTGCCAGACTTTGTTTCAAATTTTAACCCAGGCAGTTTGACTCTGATCAGTTATAGCATTTCCCTATGAAATGAGCCAATGAATGGCTAGCAGCAAAATAGGTGACAGTCTGTTAATTGGTGCTTTCTTCTAGGCAATGTCTCTAAAAATCAGAATCCACATGCCAACTAATCATCATGCTCCTCTCATTCAATATAATTTTTTTCCCCTTGAATTAATTTTCTTGTGAATGCTAGATGAAAATGTGTCCATTTTTAGCTGTACAATAAATATATAAATGTAATATTTAAATATGTAAGGATGGGAAAATTAAGGGCTTACATTGCAAGTATAAAAAATGTAATATAATTTTAAATAAGAAGACTGCTCAAATTCCAGCATCTGCATCAAGCCATTCCTGCTATTTTTAATGTAAGTCATGATGATCCACACTCTCAAGGATTTCTTTCGTGATTAAAATATTTCTACTTAAAGGCTTGAGATTTTTAAACTTATTCAAAGCATGTTTTTCACTTTGTCCAAGTTGTGGTGGGCAATCCGTCAAATGACTCACTTGAATTTATTTTGGATTTTTAAAAAAATTAATGAGCCTTAATAGTTGGTGAAAGCTTGAAACACTATTATGCTAAACTTGTGTTGCCTTCCTTTCCCTCTGTACATAATCTTACAGTTTATTAATTTTGCAATTTCTTGCTCTAATGGACTCACAAAGAGCAGATGGCTAGATGCAAGTAGTTACTGAAGTATGGGGAGGATTGTTTGATCATGAAAGAGTGAAAAATAAAGTCAGACTGTCAAAGGTTGGGATTATCCAAATTGTACATTCATAAAGCAGTTGTAGGTGCACTGAGACTTCACAGGCATTGAAGTCAAATCACTATTTGCATAATTGAATCTAGTGAATATTTGCAAGTAAAATGCAAATGAAGATGATCTGTTATAAGCAGGGAGCAGAATTCAAAAGGTGTAGCCCTGAGAAAGGGGCAGGTCTGTTCAGGGGGACTTTGGTGAAGTATCACAGTTCTTGTGATTTCTTCAACGTGTCCAATGACCCAAATATTTGAACAAATGAAGTTGAAAGGGCTGTGGTTATGAAAAAAGTCATTAGAGCATGGCAGAGATATTTAAACCAACTTGCTTTTTTTATTGGCCCTTGGATGATTTGCAAGTGTGAAGGATCTTTTAGATCTTGTTATAATTCCCATAGAGACTCTTTTTTAAAGAGATGACTTTCCCTGTGTAGGAATAAAATTGCTGAAGCGAAAAAAATACGTATATGATTTTTACTGTAGCAAACAAACTAAAATATGCATAGATCAAACAATATTTTGTCAACAACTAATGCACCTAATAGAAAAAAAGATAATTCCCATCTAACCAATTAACACAATTAAGATATTCTCTACAACTAGTGTTGCTGTGCATTGTACTTCCAGCAGATGTATAGTATTACAAGAACAAGTCCCAGATTGTGCTCAGCTTTTTAGCAGGCTCACTTGCTTCTGCAACAGTTGATCGCAATTTACAATGTCCTCCATAAAGCAATCCACTCAGCCTGAATATTCCTGACTTACCTTTAAACAGCAAGGCCCACCATAACAATTTCCTTATTCCTTAAATCTCTAAAAATCCCTTTAGTCCAGTCCACTTTTTTGCAAATGAAGACCAACTCTGTTTGGCAGATAACACAAAATCAGTTCACCTTTTTCCCATAGCAGTGGCAACTTGGTTCTTCTATACCACAGTAATTCCTTTATCATTCTCTCTCCCAAGTACTGATGCCACCCCAGTAGTCACTGCTTGCCCATGAGAAAAAGATCCATTTATTTCTACTCTGTTTTCAGTCTATTAACCAATTATTAATCAGTACCAGTATATTACCTCTTATCCCATGTACTTAAATCCTTTTCAAATGATTTTATCAGTTTCCCTACTACTGATATCTGGTTAACAGGTCTGTAGGTCCCCATTTTTTACTCTTACTCCCTTTATACTTAACAGGCTGACATTTGTTACCTTATAATACACATTCATTCATTCCAGAATCTGCAGAATTTTGGAGGATAATCACGAATGCATCTATATCCATCACCTCCTTGAGCAATCTGGAATAATAACCATCACATCTTGCTAACACTAATTTCCTTTAACTCCTCATTCACTCTCGCCACTTGTGTATGCACCTCTAGGGTTTTTCTTTTAATTTACTTTTAGCCCATTCCTAGTTGTCCTTGAGAAGTTGGTGGTGAACTGCCTTCTTGAGCCACTGTGGGTTGATCCACAATGCTGTTAGGGAGGGAATTCCAGGACTTAGACCCAGTGATGGTGAAGAAACAATAATATACTTCTAAATCAGGATGGTGAATGGCTTGGAGGGGAACTAGCAGGTGGTGGTGTTCCCATGTATCTGCTGTCCTGTCTTTTTAGATGGAAGTGGTCTTGAGTTTGGAAAGTGTTGTCTAAGGATCTTTGTTGAATTTCTGCAGTGCATCATTAAGATAGTACACATTGCTGCTACTGACCATTATTGGTGGAGGGAGTGGATGTGGTGACAATCAAGCACACTGCTTTGCACTGAATGGTGTCAAGCTTCATGAGTATTATTAGAGCTGCACCCATCCAGACAAGTGGGGAGTATTCCATCACACCAGCCTGTCGGTGGTGGACAGGCTTTGGGGAGTCAAGAGCGAGTTACTTGCCACAGTATCCATAGCCTTTGATCTGTTCTTGTTTATCTGGTGAGTCCAGTTAAGTTTCTGGTCATTAGTAACTGTTGGAGAAGGATTTTAAAGAGAAGTCTTCGGTGCGATGGTCAGCAGCACAAATTGATCTTTATGTGGAGCTTCTTACCAATGCAGCGTGGGAGTGGCTTCTGGAAATAGACTCTAAAATACTCTAACTCTCCCAATAAAGTACAGGATATTTATATATTCCACATTACAATGTCTATAACAACATTGACATCAGCATGCATACCACATCCCCTCTCACCATTATGCCCCTTCCCAGACATTTGCCAGCTGCATCATTCTGAGTGCATGCGGTTCGTTACCTTGTGAAGCTGTGATTATTTTCCTGAGGTCATAATGACTGAGTAATGTTTTGCAATTGCCCCCTTATAATGTTTCTTGGTGCCTTTTCACAAGGTTATCTATTTATACCACATGTTATATGTTGCCCAGTTCTTGGTGT